TAAGATACAGTGGAAAAATCTTTTTTCAAATTTAAATAACTTTATTTTTTAGTAAACTAGGTACAAAAATTTGTGTATTTATATATTAAAAAAAAATATATCTTCATCAGATTCATCTGATGAATCTTCGCTACTAACATCGCTGTCATCTTCATGTATTTCACTTTCCTCACTCGTGATATCTGACTCTGTAATAACATGAAAAGATTAAGTAAATTATGTAATAGAGAATAATCAATCAATAAATAGCAATAGTATTAATAGGGTACCGTGTTTGTCAGAAGATAATTATTTAAAAGATGGTTTGGGGACCATCAAATCAATAGTATTCATATTTGCCATCAATTATTGTCCATCCAAAATTTTCTGGCAATTTTTCCGTAGGGCACCGCATGTGTGCATTACACCTGCTTTCGAGCAGATAGAAAAGTTTTGCAAGAAAGCCAAATATCTTTATTAAATTTCTTCACTTCTTCTCTTTTCTTTCGAAAAGTAGGGTTTTCACAAAGCAAATTACACAACAAACACTCCATAATTATTTTAAATCACAAAAATGTTTCTTGAAATTATTTCTAGAGAAACAAAACAAAACACGTGGTCAACTGGAAAAATGTTTCTACGCTTATGGTCGACACTATAGTCAAGACACTAAAAGAATGAGTTTATGTTCAGCAGTGGGAGACACTAAATGTACTGGGAAATTTATGGGGTGGAGGAAGAATTCTTTTATGCTACTACTATATGTCCCTACTATAACCTGGGATACCTAACACGTAGGAAGTAATGCTCTGCGTATGCGTACCGGTGTGACTCAGCTGTTGCAGCAAAATACAGAAACCCAAGCATCACATTCTTTTTTGTGAATTTTTTTGTTTTTTTTGAATTATTTATTTAGCGTCGCTCAAACAAGTTGTTAATATTTTGTTGAATTTAAGTTGACGATTATTAATTTTTTAACTTCTTGTTGAGTGAAATAAATTATTTTTTAATTTCATGAATTTCAAATATATATTCAATGGTAAAACCGGAAGAACGTACCACGCAATTTGTAGGACAATGTGACTGTTAAATTATATAAATATTAACTAAGTAAAAAAAAATCAGCTGGTTAGTAATCATTTATGATGACCTCGTTATCGGTACATGTTGGAAAGAGGGGACTCTTTAATCAAACCATAGATTTTGTAGGACAAATATTTTTTCGAATAATTTAGAGAATCATCAAACCGACATATTTTATCCTTGCTACCTCTGATCAAAGTTTCTTACAAGAAGTTATTGGGCATCTCATCAAAATGAAGCTACTCACGGAAAATTAGCTTGATAGTAATTAAGTGCAAAAATGTACCAGGGATCCTGGACTAAGATCAAAATAATATACTACAGTATTGTACACCTTAAAAAGGTCTACAAAAAAGTCAGCGATGGTATAATTCTGTCTCTTAGGGATAACCCACTGTTCAGACCAGGGTACATTTACCTGCCGTTTCCTTGAACCATTAAGTTGGAAATTCAAATATTCAATTTTGTTGGTTTTTACAAATATTATATGTAAGTGGTTTAGGTGTAATTTTAGGGTATCGAACTTTGCAGGTAACAATATCTTTAAGATACTTTNAAGTAGGACAAATATTTTTTCGAATTATTTAGATAATTATTTTGAGATTAAGCAAAAAAAACCCAGTTAGTAATAAATTTTTGAGAATCATCAAACGGACATAGCTAACAGAGGAAGGATAAAACTTCCTACCTCTGTTAGCTACCACAATCAATGTTTCTTACAAGAAGTTTTTGGGCGTCTCATCAAAATGAAACTACTCACGGAAAATTAGCTTGTTAGTAATCAAGTGCAAAAATGTACTGGACTAATAGGTATTACATGCATCATCAAATCATCGCCGTGGCGCATTTTGCTGTGCAAGCAACTAAGAAGACATAAAAAATCATTTTTTACACACGATAAAAAAAATCATGTTTGTAACTTCTTTTAGTATAGATACGTTTTTTTTTTGTAATTAATATTAATAAAATTTTAAAAAGTCGATTTTGTCCGTCGAAAAATTAATTGGCGCAGTAAGTAGGATTGCCGAAATTGTGTTGTGTCAAAAATATAAGAACAATTTTCGTTTTTATGATTAATCGGTAAGGTCACTCGTAGACCTGAAACAATCCTACACGAGAAAAGGAAGGATATCGTCTTTTTTTGCGAGGACCAAAATTGAGAAAAATTTGGACCACATAGCCAGACCATTTTGCTGAACTGTCATAGTTATATAAGTGGAATTGACAGAGTCGTACTACTAATGTAAGTACAATTCCGTGTCATTATAAAATCTTTTTCAAAATTTATATTTAGAACCTTCAGTTGACTCTGACGTTAACTCTTCAAACTAATCCCTTAATCTAAGTGAAACTTCCCAAGATAACGTAAATCAGATAATCTCAAATATTAATTCTATTGTACAAACCAAAATGTCTCTTTTTAAACACGATTATTTAAGTTGTGTTCCGACATTCGATGGTAACCCAAATGATTTAAATAGATATTTAATAACTTGTGAAAGTATTATTAAACAGTTTTATAACACCACAAATCCCAATGATTTCCAAAATAGTTTTCTAATTCATTCTCTGATAGATAAGATGACTAAACCAGTTGTGAAACAAAATACTCTGCACCCTAAACAATTTTTCGAATCACAAAATTATGTTAATCAATTTCATATGATTAATTCTGTTTTTCCGGAATCGTCAAATTCAACCCCAAAATAATTTTCTAAATCGCCCTATGCAACGTCAGAATAATTTCTTCAATCAATACAACCACAAAGTAATTCTCCGCTTAGACTATTTCAATTCAATATAAATAACTTC